CGGTGCTAGGCAGAGTTTGAAGACCCATTCAAAATTGGAGACCCATTCAAAATATTGAGGAGCTAAAATCAACTCAGTTAAGACTCTTAAAACAAAACATTTTTAGAGAACACATCAGGAGAAGCTCAAAGTAAAAGAGCTTGGACCCAATCTGCCAGAGCAGCAGACCAAAGTCAGAGGGAGAGTTGACTCTTGATCATTTTCCAGGACCTGGATTTGCAACCAGGCTAAGCCAACCATTGGCTAATGCTTTGTTTTGCTTTCACTGCCTCCTTTTTCAAGCATCAGGATCTGACTCAGCATGGAATAAGATACATTGGAAATGTATTTACTGAATTAAGATAGTCAAATTTAAATCTCATTTGTAATGTTTGTTAATCATAGTATTGCTCCTGAGATTAAGCCTTATTTTAATTTCTATGAGGCTGTTTTAGGTATGAGTTCAGTGCCTACTTTACGGCTGAAGGACAGCTCAGCTGAGATGATGGCCATTGGAGACTGGCTGTTAATACAACCCCTGGCAAATAGTATGGAATCACCAGTCTTGGATGAGCACTCATTCAGACATTTCATTCTGTAAAACAAACTCAGATCAAAACATGATAAAAATAATGAGGTCATTCCAAAGTGCAACAACTTGTTGGCTTTCAGGAACACTCAAAGAAATGAAAAGAAAACATTGTGGAAGTCAGTAAATGTTACTTTTATTGATCAAGCACAGAGAAAAGAGTATGGAATCACTCAATTCTGAGGAAAAAGGTATGGAATCACTCAATTCTGAGGAAAAAAGTATGGAATCACTCAATTCTGAGGAAAAAAGTATGGAATCACTCAAATTCAGAGGTGCCAACCTGGAGTCATCTTGTCTTGGAGCATTTGCGTCGCGCGTTCATTTTTGGCAGTTTGTGCGCATAATAAAAAATATATGGAATTTATCTTTAAACTTCAAAGTATTCATGCAAACCTACTTATTTCTAGATGGAGAGATTATAAGTAACAAGTGATAAAACAGAGTTTATAAAATGGGTGCTTTATGAACATAACTTTGCTAAACAGTACATATATCTATCCTATTATTGGGCCTCATTTATTCATTCACACTGAAAATGAATTTGTAGTCACAGGGAATTCTTGTCACTATATTTAAACTGGGGCAGCACGGTGGCTCAGTTGGTAGAGCTGATGCCTCTCAGCAAGAAGGTCACAAGTTCAAATCCCGGTCCGGGGACCTTTCTGGGTAGAGTTTGCATGTTCTCTCCGTGCATGCGTAGGTTCTCTCCGGGTACTCCGGCTTCCTCCCACAGACCAAAAACATGACTGTTAGGTTAATTGATAACTCTAAATTGTCCCTAGGTGTGAGTGAGAGAGTGAATGBTTGTTTGTCTCGTTTGTSTCTATGTGTGGCCCTGTGATGGACTTGCGACCTGTCCAGGGTGTACCCCGCCCCTCGCACTGTGACTGCTGGATATGGGCACCAGTGACCCACACGAMCCTGAAAAGGAAGAAGCGTGTACAGAAAATGGATGGATGGATATTTAAACTGAATAAGGAGGAAACTATATTTGTCTTTTAAAAATAATAACAGATGAATAGTCTTTTCCATTACTGAGTCCGGCTCCTCTTGGCTCAGTTCGGGCTGGTTCGGAGTGGTAACGTCTTTTAAAAGTAGCTGCTTTATATATTGTCTGACTTTGATTTTGTGAAATAACGATACTATTGTCATTGCTGTTTGTTTTTCATTGAGTTAAATCCATAAAGAAAAAAAATCAACATATTTACTCACACTCCTAGGCATAAAGTGTGCAGTAAGTGTAATTTCATTTATTAGAAAATCATTTTGGTTTTCTTTTACTGCGTTTATAAGCAACAGTTTGCTGTAGCAGGGTATGATTATTATTTACAGACTAAATACCCTGCTACAGCAAACCGTTGCTTATAAATGCAGTAAAACAAAACCAAAATGATTTTCTAATAAATGAAATTACACTTACTGCACACTTTATGCCTAGGAGTGTGAGTAAATATGTTGAGTTTTTCTTTATGGATTTAACTCAGTGAAAAACAGCAATGCCAATGGTATCGTTATTTCACAAAATCAAAGTCAGACAATATTTAACCACATTTTAAAAACCACACAACCACCTAAAAAAGTACTTTACTTTACTGCCTCGACACTGATAGCAATGCAGCTGGTACCGATAGAAACAGGAGAAGGTGGAGAAACGGTCCAGGAGCTCAGCTGRTCACTTGTCAAAGGTGACTCTGGACAGAAAACCAACGATTAGCCTCGAATACGGTCATAATTAATTACTAATTACAATAAATGAAGAGCTGGGACTGTTTTTAGCCTTGAACGCTAACTAGCGATAGCCGCTAGCCACTAACTCGTTAGCATCGGAAACGAACACACACAGGACACATGGAACAAACTTTATAAATAAAAGGTACAGTTTCACAAGCGAGACGTGCCCCATAAATTATATTCAATATCTCACTAAATGCATGAAGCATTCACCGTCTGTAGATGAAGTTTGTGACGAGACCAGTCTGCAGTAGCAGCAGCTAGCTAGCTAATTAACCGGCGGCTGTAAAGAGCGATCCCCTCCATTTACCCACAGCAGCTCTAGTCCCATGGCTTTCAGCCACTCCTGCTGTTGTTGTGGTTCTTCACTGCTCTGAAAACAGGCCCAATATATTTTTAGCTTCTCCCAGCGCTCCGCCATCATTTGGAACATCCAGGCAGCTTAACTGGCCAATCGTGACTGGCTGCTACACGCTTCGGCACCTCCACGCCCCAAACGGTGCCGGCCTCAGTACTACCTCGAGAGGAGGTCTGAAAAAGTGGGCAGCGTGCGGCCGGGAGTCACAGCGGAAAGACCGAAAACGGGTGCTGAGTGGGTGGAGCCAAACCAAACCGCGTAGGTGGGAAAATGCAGCGGGAGGGGTTCCCAGGAGCTCAGCTGAATGAATGAAGCTTGGCACAAGGCCAGATCGTAATAAATGTCTAGTATGCCGTAATGGTTCAGAGCGGGTCTCAATATCGTAATGATTACGGTGAGATTGTAATGGTTGGCACCTTTGCAAATTGGAGGTAGAAGATAAGGACACACCCAGTCAATTTCCTTTCCCTAAATGGACACCTGCCTCAGATTAGATCTGCTCATTAGTCTGCAGTTAAAAACACCTGCAGTCATGACACCTTGGAGGGCTGCTGGACGAAGTGAAGTGGGAAGAACCATGGCTCCAACAAGAGAAGTGTCTCTTGAAACAAAAGAGAGGATTGTGAAACTTCTTGAAGAAGGTAACTCTTCACGCATGGTTGCAAAAGATGTGGGCTGTTCACAGTCAGCTGTATCYAAGATATGGACCAAATACAAACAGCATGGAATGGTTGTTAAAGCCAAGCGTACTGGTAGACCAAGAAAGACATCAAAGCATCAAGACAAACAACTTAAGGCCATTTGTCTTGAAAACTGAAAAAGTACAACTAATCAGATGAAGCGTAAATGGCAGGAAGCTGGAGCCAATGTATGTGACCGAACCGTAAGAAATTGCTTAAAGGAAATGAGATTTCAATACAGCAAAGCTAAAAGAAAACCATCTTTGACACCTAAACAAAAAAGAATGGACTAAGGAGAGGCAATCATGGACTGTGGATGACTGGATGAAAGTTATCCTCAGTGATGAATCAAGAATCTGCACTGGACAAGATGATGATGCTGGAACTTTTGTTTGGTGCCGTTCCAGTGAGATTTATGAAGAGGACTGCCTGAAGAAAACAACCAAATTTCCACAGTCCTTGATGATATGGGGCTGCATGTCAGGCAAAGGCACTGGGGAGATGACTGTGGTTCATTCTTCTATCAATGCACAAGTTTACATTGACATTTTGGACAGTTTTCTCATCCCTTCAATTGAACAGATGTTTGGAAGGGATGAAATAATTTTCCAAGATGACAATGCATTGTGCCATAGGGCAAAAAGAGTGAAGGCATTCCTTGGAGAAAGACACATTTAGTCGATGTCATGACCTGCAAATAGTTCAGATCTGAACCCAACTGAAAACCTGTGGTGGAAATTGAAAAAAAGGGTCCACAAGGCGGCTCCAACCTGCAAAACTGATCTGGCAACTGCTATCAAAGAGAGTTGGCACCAAATTGATGAAGAATACTGTTTGTCACTCATAAAGTCCATGCCTTGGAGACTGCAAGCCGTTATAAAAGCCAACGGTGCAACTAAATACTAGGGATGTATTTTGAATGGTCTTTTGTTTATCTGTTTTTCATGATTCCATACTTTTTTCCTCAGAATTGAGTGATTCCATAAATTTTTCCCTGTGCTTTGTCAATAAAAGTAACATTCACTGACTACCACAATGTTTTCTCTTCATTTCTTTGAGTGTTCCTTTTTTTGTGTGTGTGTCTTGTATCTTTGAGTGTTCCTGAAAGCCAACAAGTTGCACTTTGGAAAGACCTTATTATTTTATCATGTTTTGATCTGAAATTGTTTTACAGAATGAAATGTCTGAATGAGTGCTCATCCAAGACTGGCGATTCCATACTATTTGCCAGGGGTCGTACTCCAAACTAGTTTCATCTGAAACTCGAGACTTGATGCCCTACCCTGGCTACATGACAGCTTTATTTAGATGGTGTAAAATGAAAAGTTGATGCATTAATTTATCTTCCATCATTGAAAACAGTAACAAATTTGAGATCTGAAATAAAATGTTTTTTTCTTACAAGCCATCAAGTTGCTGTAGTTTGTCCCATCTGTTGTCAGCTGCTTGTATGAATCCCGGTTAATCTCCTCTCTAAAGTTTTGTTGGGTCTGGTTCATTTCTTGATCTTTGGGTCCAGGACTCGGTATGTGAAAGCTGCAGAAGCAAAATTCCAGAAATCTTAGACTTTTAAAGTTTACTTTAATAAAATTTATACTATTTACATTGATTAGATAAAGGCATATTTACCCATATATCTTTTACTGACATAAGTAAACCAGAAAATAAAACCTGGATGCATTCCCCAATCTTAACCCTTTACCTAAAATTAACCACACAGATGGATGCCCAACCCTGACCCATTATCTAAAATTACTCACTCAGATACATGCCCAACCCTGACCCATTGTCTAAGAATAACAACTTGTATTCATGCCCAAGACCAATGTCTTTGTTAGTTGTGACCAGATTAGATCAATTTATAGATAAACAAAACATTCTAAGGAGCAGTCAATATGCATTTAGAGCAAATACAGGGTTTGGACAATGAAACTGAAACCTGGTTTTAGACAACAATAATTTATTAGTATGGTGTAGGGCCTCCTTTTGCGGCCAATACAGCGTCAGTTTGTCTTGGGAATGGCATATACAAGTCATGCACAGTGGTCAGAGGGATTTTAAGCCATTCTTCTTGCAGGATAGTGGCCAGGTTACTACATGATGCTGGTGGAGGGAAATGTTTCCGGACTCGCTCCTCCAAAACACCCCAAAGTGGCTCAATAATATTTAGATCTGGTGACTGTGCAGGCCATAGGAGATGTTCGACTTCATTTTCATGTTCAACAAACCAATCTTTCACCAGTCTTGCTGTGTGTATTGGTGCAGTGTCATCCTGATACATGGCACTGCCTTTAGGATACAACGTTTGAACCATTGAATGCACATGATCCTCCAGAATGGTTTGGTAGTCCTTGGCAGTGACGTGCCCATCTAGCACAAGTATTACACCAAGGGAATGCCATGATATGACAACCCAAACCATCACTGATCCACCCCCATGTTTCACTCTGGGCATGCATCAGTCTGGGTGGTCCATTTCTTTGGGGCTTCTCCACACTGTAACTCTCCCGGATGTGGAAGAAACAGTAAAGGTGGACTCATCAGAGAACAACACGTTTCACATTATCCACAGCCCAAGATATGCACTCCTTGAACAATTGAAACTGATGTTTGGCATTGGCACAAGTGAACAAAGGTTTGGCTATAGCAGCCCGGCCGTGTATATTGACCCTGTGGAGCTCCTGATGGACAGTTCTGGTGGAAACAGGAGAGTTAAGGTGCACATTTAATTCTGCTGTGATTTGGGCAGCCATGGTTTCATGTTCTTTGGATACAATCCGGGTTAGTACTCGAACATCCCTTTCAGACAGCTTCCTCTTGCGTCCACAGTTAATCCTGTTGGATGTGGTTGGTCCTTCTTGGAGGTATACTGACATTATCCTGGATACTGTGGCTCTTGATACATCACAAAGACTTGCTGTCTTGGTCACAGATGCACCAGCAAGACGTGCACCAACAATTTGTCCTCTTTTGAACTCTGGTATGTCACACATAATGTTGTGTGCATTGCAATATTTTGAGCAAAACTGTGCTCTTACCCTGCTAATTGAACCTTCACACTCTGCTCTTACTGGTGCAATGTGCAATTAATGAAGTTTGGCCACCAAGATGGTCCAATTTAGCCATGAAACCTCCCACACTAAAATGACAAGCGTTTCAGTTTCATTGTCAAACCCCTGTATGTCTATATCAATGGCTCTCGGGGAATTGAGAGAGCAGATAAAAACTGCTGTTGATCAAATACAGTACTGCGTTAGTATAGATGTTGATTTAAAAAAAGAATTCAACACTATTGACCACATTATTTTTGGAAAAGCTGAATAAATATGGCATTAGAAGATAAGAACTACAATGGGTATCTAGCTTTTTGAAGAATAGAAAATAGTTTGAACAAATAAATGGTGTAAGTTCTGATCTTTAACATCACATGCAGAGTTCCTCAGGGTCCTGTACTTGGACCAGTTATTCAATTTATACGTGAATGAATTGGTAAATGTATCTGGACTTTTTAAGTGTATTGTATTTGCGGATGATACCACATTTTCTGTTTGAGTAAAGATTTGGAAAGAATGTTGGAGATAATGCAGACAAAATTCAATGATAAATCTGTGTATGTTGTATAATCCAATAAATGTTCCACACTTAATTTATTGTATTGAAGTCTGGGGGGAGCACGTAAAACAATTACAAATCCTATTTTTGTTTTACAGAAAAGAGTTGAAGAATTACCACACAAAACATTACAGTCACTCATCAAATAAATTATTTTATCAATTGAAATTAAGTCTGAGTTGCTTGATTATATTTTACAGGCTCACAAAAACATATTACCTTTAAAAAAACATTTAAATTTGTTAAGTGATAGAGTTATTACAATCTTAACAAGATAGAGATGTTTGTGAAACCTAAACTTCCAACTAGTTCAATGTACATGTTTAAGAGGATGATAAAAGACAATTTGTTAAAGAAATATGGAATAGTATAATATGTATCCATAAGAATTGTTATTCGAGAAGGATTTAATGTTGTTGTTTTTTTATTATTATTATTTGTAGAATATTACTGTTTGAATTTATTTATTTTTTTTGGGAAAAGGGGGCATATATAAGGTTCAACTCCCTGGCGGTATAGTGTGATACTGATGGTAGCCTTTGTTACGTTAGTCCCAGCCTTCTGCAGGTCATTCACTAGATCCCCCCTTGTGGTTCTGGGATTTTTCCTCACCGTTCTTGTGATCATTTTGACCCCACAAGGTGAGATCTTGAATAGAGTCCCTTATGGAGGGAGATTATCATTGACCTTGTATGTCTTCTATTTTCTAAATATTGCTCAAAGTTAGGGTAAAGAAAAATGTCCTAGCCATACAGGAGTACATACTGTAAAAAACGTGGCAGTAAAATTAACTTGAGCGTGTTTCTTAAAAATGTGTTTTACTGCATCCCTCCACGCGCGTCCCTCCATATCCACCTCTCACCAAACTTGGGGAAAAAGACAGCGCAGAGCGAGGCTGAGCACTGTGTGTGGTCCTCACAAAGATAGGAAGACGTGTGTGTGATTAGACGCGCAGCTCTGCTTTTAATCACGTAGCACCGATGCAACAGCTTTGCAAGCTACTTTTTCTTTCTTTAAAAGAAAATGYRAYAGGTGAAGCCACAGCATGGTTACTACCTTATCAATAATTACTGCCTTTTTTTCTTTCTCTGTGGGTGGGGGGTCAGCTTCACTCAGCTGCAGGTGAACACCTCCCGGGAACGCACACGTTTCCTGGACTATTTTCCACCGAGGATTACGTCGTATTTTATATTTATTATATTTCTAAAAGCACCTCGCAGCATTTCCCGTGTGTTCACGTCACGAACGCAACAAAACCGTGACCGATCAGCTGAATGTTTTTAAAGCGAGGGGCAGCGACTTTACAGCAGCTCGGAACTTTCACTATTGAAAGTTTCTGGTGAGACATTAAGGTGACAAGCAAATCTTTTGTGTCAGCCTGTTCCCATTGCTCTGTCCAGAGGTTTTTTTAATGTAATATTGGGCCTCATGCAAGAACATGTTCGTATTCTTATCCTAAATTTCTCTTACTTTTGTTCGTACAAAGAGTTCGTACGAACATGCCACGTCAGATTCAACAAACTCTTCTATCTTCAGGAAAAGTGTGTAAATGAGCTGCGTAAATTCCACCTGTTCGTATCCAGCTGCTCGTGCACACGAGAGGAGATTAGCATAATTACCACCCCAAAAACACCATATAAGGCTACGTTTCCTGCCTCAGATACAAGGCAGTGTCCATTAATTAAAAAAAACAGCGAAAACTAAAAAGAAGAACTTTACGACTGGTAATTTGGAGAAAACCCAGGAGTCGCTGGAGGGATTGTGTTTCCCCCCTCTGGCCTGGGAACGTCTCGGAGTCCCCCAGGACGAGCTGGAAGGTGTTGCTGGGGAGAGGGAAGTCTGGGTCTCTCTGCTGGACCCGATCCCGGATAGCCAGTCGGACAGACAATTTATATTGTTAGTCTAAATTATTACGTTTAAAATTATAACTCTAATTCAAGCAGAATAGCTTATTGTCAACATAATTATGGAGTGCTCACAAAACTGAGTGCTCATATGTAAATAAAGTCTAACGTTACAACTAATTGGGGATCCCTTTAAGGGTAGCACCTTTTACGGCTGCTGGACCCAGGGCACCTGTTCTCCAAGTCTGTTGTGTTTTGTCTACTGTATACCTCTTGAATGGGTTGTTCCAAACTGTAATTTCCCTTCATGGGATTATTAAAGATTGATTGATTGATTTATTGATTGATTGACTGATTCATTCATTCATTCACTGCATTAAGACTTGACACAAAAAGTCATAAATTTTTCTCACAATTTTGAGTTCATCAACCCTCCAACTCCAACAGTCGAAGCCAAGTGAAATAACTAAAATCTAATAATTAACTGTGTTAAGTATGCACACCTGTTTTCAGTAGCAGTCTTTGTAGAGAAGTTTGTCAGTTCTTGTTTGTTTCTCTCATTCTCACAGGGTTGAAAGTTAACAGTCTCCACATACTTTGGCTCAATACCAAGCTCCCCAATGACAACCTAAAACATAATTATTTATACAATTTATTACAAAATAAACAGTTTGCAATAACAAATAACAGCAATGTCTAGTATTAGAATATTAGCAACAAAGCCATTTTTGTTTGTGTAATGACATAAAAACAATGAAAAACAAATGTTTCCACATACAGTTTAACCACATGTTTTGTCTGAAAGCTGTAGAGAGGATGTTAAAACATGGTTGATAAGTAACCTATTACTTTTAAATTCCAGTTAAAAAGAGGTCATTCTTTTTGCTCTAAAAAACATAGGAACAGCAATGTACCTAGTCATGTTAAATTATAAAGTGCAGAAGGGATCTGACTTTTGTAGTGGAAACCCCCACATCTACCAGTTAATATTGGACCTGCAGAGTCAACAAACTTAAAATTTTAAATACCATCATCTGACTTTTAATTTGAGTTCAGTTCGAGTTCCATCATTGGGGGTGCCAAGTGTAAAATGAAGTGCTAAAAAATTTCACTAATGTATACATATTAGGAGTGCAACAATACATGTACCCGTATCGAACCGTATCGAACAATACAAACTTAAAAAATTTACTTTATCACCTTGTCTTCTGAAGATGCTCTGTGTTGAAG